CTAACTTTTCCAACCTAGGTGAGAAAAAATCAGATGTTTTCTTNTAAGTTATCTCAACAGTTGAAATGTGGATAATAGAAAGAGACTGGCAGAATTGACCTCATTGCACACTTTATGAACTCAAACAGGATCATTGTATTGTCTTCATCATCAACTCAAACAGGATGAATGCACTGTCTTCTTGATGATCTCATACAGGATCATTGTATTGTCTTCTTGATGGTCTCAAACAGGATCATTGTATTGTCTTCTTGATGGTCTCAAACAGGATCATTGTATTGTCTTCTTGATGGTCTCAAACAGGATCAATTTATTGTCTTCTTCATGAACTCAAACAGGATCATTGTATTGTCTTCTTCATGAACTCAAAATAGGATCATTGCATTGTCTTCTTGATGGTCTCAAACAGGATCATTGTATTGTCTTCTTCATGATCTCAAACAGGATCATTGTATTGTCTTCTTGATGGTCTCAAACAGGATCATTGTATTGTCTTCTTGATGATCTCAAACAGGATCATTGTATTGTCTTCTTGATAGTCTCAAACAGGATCATTGTATTGTCTTCTTTATGGTCTCAAACAGGATCATTGTATTGTCTTCTTTATGGTCTCAAACAGGATCATTGTATTTTCTTCTTGATGGTCTCAAACAGGATCATTGTATTGTCTTCTTGATGGTCTCAAACAGGATCATTGTATTGTCTTCTTCATGAACTCAAAATAGGATCATTGCATTGTCTTCTTGATGGTCTCAAACAGGATCATTGTATTGTCTTCTTCATGATCTCAAACAGGATCATTGTATTGTCTTCTTGATGGTCTCAAACAGGATCATTGTATTGTCTTCTTCATGATCTCAAACAGGATCATTGTATTGTCTTCTTGATGGTCTCAAACAGGATCATTGTATTGTCTTCTTGATGATCTCAAACAGGATCATTGTATTGTCTTCTTGATGGTCTCAAACAGGATCATTGTATTGTCTGCTTGATGGTCTCAAACAGGATCATTTTATTGTCTTCTTCATGAACTCAAACAGGATCATTGTATTGTCTTCTTGATGGTCTCAAACAGGATCATTGTATTGTCTTCTTCATCAACTCAAACAGGATCATTGTATTGTCTTCTTGATGGCCTCAAACAGGATCATTGTATTGTCTTCTTCATCAACTCAAACAGGATCATTGTATTGTCTTCTTCATCAACTCAAACAGGATGATTGCACTGTCTTCTTCATTAGCCCAAATTCAAGCTAAACATGGGATGTAAAACTCCAGTATTATTTATTATCTCCAGTCTATAGATTATAATAATAACCTAGCTAACAGCAGGTTCTCTAGGTATAACTATTTTTATTGTGAGATATTTTATGTTCCAGTTTTAATATTGAACCTAGGATGACCTTTTCCTGGTCTATATTCTCACTACATACAGTCATCATACTTAACTGGGTTTTAATTTTCTAATCTATTATTAGCTAACAGCGGGACAAAGACACTGTGCACTATATTCACAGTTATAGAACAAATACAGTGTACTCTGTGTTATCTGACATCTGAGTATTTCAACATCTTTTTTTGGTCCCAATTGATTTCTTTCTTATGTACATCAAGCCACACCCAGTTGAAGTTTTTAAACTTAAACAGTCTATGAATAAAGGTTTTATTTGTTTTGAAATACACTTCCCCAATCAGAGCTGTTTGGTTATTAAGCTAACACATGCACATCCATTGGAAGTTTTCGAACAAAATTGGTTAAAATGTACTGCCAGATATACAGCTATTTAACCAGCACCTGATACAGATTTGAAAAAAAAGAGAGAATTTATCCTTGAAACAAAACTTTCAACATATAAATGAATTTGAACAATTATTTTATTATTATAAATGTTATTTTTTCAACCTTTTTCATAGTGCCTCTGTGAGCCATTTGGATAAAGTGAGCCACAATCCCATCTATGTATTGATAAAGAACACCTGTTTGAATTACAATGATTAAAACTCCCATAAAGCTGTATGTATCTGTTTGAAATAATGAAATAGAATTGATGAATATATCAGATATATAGATTATAAAGAATAATAATTATAAAATATTGTTAGATGAGACACCTGTGTTGTAATTAAACATACCTGTATATACTGTTGATATAATTATCAATCTACAACAACAATCTGACTCAAACATAGACAATGGCTATTGATGACAATCATGTGGGAGGTTTGAATCTTTCTTAAGCCAAATATCCAGACAGATCAGTAGTACCTTAATCTAAGAAACAAGATTTTTATTAGCTAATCTAATCAGTAATAGTGTTTACAACTCATCGTCAAAATTTTAATCTTCAAATCCATGTGTTTCCTGTTTTATAGAAATACAAAGTGAAATTTTCACATGTCTAGTACTTCTGAAGACTATTCACATATATTCAAGACCTATATTCTTCATTCCTCCCACCCCCCTTCTTTAATTTACCTGGTGTTGCCTAAGGTCATGTCAGCCCCCCACCCCACCCCCTTTTAGTTAGTGTGTCACTTAGTCTTATCAAATCATATTATCAATTTAATATATGACTTTACAGAATCAAATATAGGACTGTGTCACATTCCAGGTTAGTTCAAGTTATGAAAGGAGATAAAAACCTGAGAGGGGCAAGGTGACATTATCATGGGCATGGGCCGTGAAATATGTAGATAATTTATGCATGCATAGTTGTATAAATCATTTCATGAAGGATTAAACAAGACAGTTTTATTGTGTGACTGGTGTAATACATTTTATTTTCAACAAGGTCGAGGGTAATAAATGTTCAGATTTTAGATTGTTTGTAATATTTGTATATACAGTTGGTCTCTTTCACTAGAGTATATTATCAATTGATTTCTATTTATTTATGTATTAGTCAGTCAGATTTTTAAAGGTGATACAAAAAGGGAGAGATATTTAGTTCTAGTTTATTTTGTGTTATGAAATTAGATATGTTAAGGGCAGACTGTCTATCAATAGAGCAACTTAATCATAATTCATACTTATTTATCATTTGTCAAGGACTAGCTGGTAGAAAGGATACTTAACTGTGAACCTATTGTCTGAGTAAAGTAAAAAGTTTTTTTAATTTTGTCCAGGCTGATATTCCAATTCAATTAAAAGAGATCGAAAAAAATTCAAAAAACTTTTTACTTTGCTCATCCAATAAGTTGTTATCCTTGTATAATATAGTTGTTTCTTGTTTCATGTGTTAGACTTTATAAGGGTTAAAGGGTATTTAAGAATAACTTCAGATATAATATTTGATTGTCACTATTAGTCCTATAAATTAGATAAAACAAGTAGGATGTAGAACTATTATTAAATTTCATCAGTCCAATATGGTACAGAACAGTAGGATGGTGTTTAACAGACAATTCTTTCACTATGTTCAATGATAAGAAAATGAAAGTGAGAAAGCCAAAGCAAGACCTGATAAACAAACCCCACCTCACCCCCCATGGAATGCCACTATTTGTGGGGATAGAAGAACCTGTTTTTTTTCAACAATTTCAATGTCTTATTTACTTGTTACCAAAATTATTTTCATATGAAAGTTCATTAGCTTTTAACAATGTATTGCCAATCAATTGTTTTGGAATTCGAGTTCCGTTTTGCAGTTCGTATCATTCGTACTTGGGTTTTTATTATTATTATTATTATTTTATTATTCCAGGATCATCACAATCATCATCACCACCATAAACCTAATCCAGTAATAACAACTATAGCTACAGCAGTATTAAATCTTGATAAGATGGCTGGCCACACAGGACATCATAATATGATGAACATGACTACTACTATGATGCCAAATGATATGGGTGGTATGGGTGATATGGGGGGTATGGGTGGTATGGATGGTAACCATGACCACAGTGGACATGGTGGACACGGTATGGATATGAACAATACGGAATGTTCAGGTGGAATGATGGTAAGGCTTTACTGCTGTAAACATTTTACCATTCTGCTCCAACACAGTTGCCTTTCTGCAAGGGTGGGCTACGGTGGCCATGGCCCGGCCAGAAAAAGTCTGGCGCAGCTTTTTATCATTTTGCAGTGAAAAAATGGCCTGTGGCCCCCCTGGAAAATTTTTTGGCCCCTGCAGAGCCCCCTCACCTTATGCCGTCTAGAAATGCCACTGGTCTAATAGTTAAAAAGTGTAGGCAACACAATGCACTGTGTAACAAGGAATAGTCAAACATGATTTGCTATAAGCTGCTCTATTCAAGTTTTGATATTGTTGTCAAAAAGGTATTTGTTGAAAAGTTTGATGTTTTGTTGTTATTTTAGATGTATTTTCATACTGGTAATTGTGAATATATTTTATTTGAAGCTTTATATACTACCAAAGTTGGTCGTAAGTATTGGATTGATTATGTTATTTCGATATTTAAAAATATTTTCAAGATATATGAGGGTCACATCAATATGGCAGCTTAAATTTTCATTTGATTAAATAATAATATTTTTTATCTTTGCAATATCAAAATCAAAATCCGATGTAAAAAAAAACGCGAAGAATGTAAATTTAGATACAGAAATTGATTTTGTAAATAAAAGTGTTTAAAGAGATGACTCTAGGGAAAATAATTCATGATGATCTCTTAATGAAACTGTTTTATAGGATTAGAATAAGCATCAGATGAGATTAATGTTGATTATTTTGTAATGATTGAATAAAAAACTCAGCTAAGTTCTATAACATGTAAATATATAATTGATATTTTGTAGATATTGTAGCAGCGTCCATTGTGATGTTTTGTCTGGCTATGTTATATGAAGGGTTAAAATATGGTCGTGAAGTTTTAGTTCAGAAAACACTCTCACAAAATAAATATATTACAACTACGCTTCCAGCAGCTAATTCACAGGAAAATATGATTATACAGACACGACAGGCTGTCGCGTAAGTATACTCTTAAATGAACTAAGGGGAGGCCGCGGTGGCTCAGTGAGTTAGACGCTTGCTAACCTGAAGGTCCAGGGTTCAATCCTTGCATAGGTCGAGATAATACCTTCGGATTTTTCAACCCAGTTTTCCCCTGTCAGTGATGCAGGCCTGACTTGGAAAAAACGTCTAGTCGTTCGGATGGGACTATAAACTGAGGACCCGTGCGCTACAGGATGCGTACTTTAAAGATCCCTTGATAGTTGGAAATCAAAAAAGAGCAGGCTAATGCCGCTGTCCTGGCAAAATTTCCCTCACTGCACCCTGCATGGCGTTCCTCATTAGCCCACATGGTGCAGAAAAGTAGGACGTAAAACCCCTAATTAACTAAGAAAATGCAGCTGTCTAGCAGAAAGACTGGATACATTGATTTCTTCCTTAAAGAAGGTAGACAAAACTACCCAGTCTTAAAACAACAACGGATAAAGAGGGTCAAAGTATATCACATCAGTTTCGATTTCCATATTTTACAGTGTGAAACTCTTGAGTTACAACATGGTTCAGGTTCTGATTTTATATCATACTTGTACATATATTTTCTTATCTAAAAGAATTAAATTTCTTTTATTTCAGGGCTCAGATGTTAAGTTGTGGTCATTTTATCCAGACATTACTTCACATGTTACAAGTTTTTATCAGTTATTGTTTAATGTTAGTTTTTATGACCTATAATGTATGGTTATGTTTAGCTATTATACTAGGGGCAGGGGCTGGTTATTTTATATTTGGGTGGAGACGAGCAGTTATTGTGGACGTAAATGAACATTGTCACTAACATTGAGTTATATCCCAGTCAGGGACCTCGTACATTATTATTCATTAGGCTGCTTTTATGGATTTTCATAATTTTGTTTTAGAATGTTGATCAAAAACATAAGGAATCGAATTTTATCAGTGCTATTTGACTGAAAATTGTTCATTTGACCATCACTGATTATAGAGTCTTTCAAAATTTCTGTCAAATTCTAGCCATAATGAATATAAAATAAATCAAGATATCTTAAATTTTTATCTAGCTTGTTTTCATGTGATCTTGTAGTAACTATAGGTAATTAAATCCATAAACCAACAGCTTTATAAAAACTTTACTGAAATTTGTTATAAAGTTATATGTTATAAAGCATTCAGACCAAAAATCATCACAAGTTGTTTACAGTGTTTTAATTATATTAAGGTACTTGTTATGCACAGTCATTTAAATGTAATTATTATCAAATAGTCCTTGTTACTTAGAGAGCAGGTGGGGTTGTAGAACTATCTCTATATCTATATGAATATCTTTATCAGACTTATTCAACTCTTGGCACTTGTTACATATAGTTATGTATAATTATGTATAGTTATGTATAAATAATCACAGATATTTATGCCTTTCAGGAACTTTTATCAAAGTAAATTCAAACAGTATTGTCATGAAGACACTGTAAACCTTGTTTTTGTTATTCTACCCATGATGTCAATAGATTTTGAGCTAATCTCAAGATCTTTATGAATATAACTTGTTTTAGTTATTGAATATTCTACCACAGTTTTAATAGATAATGAAATAGTCCTTGGATCTTTATGATTATCTGTTTCTGACACTTTCAAATATTGACACTTGTTAATTTTAACACTTTACCAGAAAGCACAGAAGTTTATTACACTGAATAATCAAATACAGAGAAATTAAGATAATGATGTAGTAAATTAAGATAATGATGTAGTAAATTAAGATAATGATGTAGTAAATTAAGATAATGATGTAGTAAATTAAGATAATGATGTAGTAAATTAAGATAATGATGTAGTAAATTAAGATAATGATGTAGTAAACTAAGATAATGATGTAGTAAATTAAGATAATGATGTAGTATATTAAAAGTGCTGTGGTTTATTTAAATTAAGTTTTATTAGTGCAAAAAGCAAATATTTTAACTACTATATTCTTTAAATCAATCTGATTAATTAAACTATTTTATTTAATATTATATCTATTTTATGTTTGAAATAGGTATGCACAAACTTGAAAAGTACCACTTTTAGTCTGAATATGTTAAAAATGTTAGTTTTTTTATTCTAATTGTTTTTTCTGTGTTTTGTTATTATTATTAAACCTAGTTACGAATCAAAACAATATTTACTTAACCTAATTTATAGACATAACATTTTAAACGAATATTCTATTATAACGAGAGTTGTTTATTGTTTATGTAATATCTAATTTGCATATTTTGTGCATAAATTATAACAATGATGTATCTTATACTTTTTAAAATTAACAAAGAATTTTACATTGTAGCCTGGGTCTCATTAATAATTGATTAATTAATATCAGAATATTTAACTTACCATGTCTAATTTGCATATTTTGTGCATACATTATTACAAAATATGTATTTAAAATTTTTGAAATGAACATATATTAAAAGATTATAATTGCATTATATTGAGCATAAAACATTTTTATCTTATTTGCATAAATCATGCATAAATTTTAATTTGTAAGTTTATCTGAATGCATGCAAATATTGAACTTATGAAGATAAATTCACAGTAGGTTAGTCTCTACTATAAGCTTTATTAAAATTAATATTTTAATTACAATATCTAATTTGCATAAATTGTGCATAAATTATGATAATTTTCCATTATCAATTTATTTTTGATAGAACTGTATATTTTAGTTGAATTATGAGTATAGAATATATTTATTTATGTACTGTATTTAAGATTATGTTATTAGTTAAGATGTAATATGTAAATCAACACTACCGGTAAAACCAGCCCACATTTTTCCAAAATTCTTGAATTTTTAAGAAACTAGGGTGAAATGGATACTTGTATGGGTAAGCCTTGAACATTGAACAGCCTCTGACTCTTAAGCAGTTTATTTCAAAGGTAATATAAAAAAAAAATAGGTTTGTTGCTATCTGAGTGTCCTATTTTCAAATATACGATAGAAGGTTTAGACATGTCTTATAATTCATTTTGTACCAGAATTTAACATAAATACATGTATAGCAAACTCAAGAATCTAGAGCTGTTATCAGACATGCCTGGTAAATACAGCTAAATCAACAACCCTGTCTTAAACCCAAGTCACTGTGATTCATGGATGTGAATTTCTATGAAATGTTCATATCAAAATATAAATATTGTATATACATTATATTAATAAAATATCTTGAATTATCAAAACTGATTGAATCAATCTGACAATAATATACCTGACTGATTAAATTTGTTAATTTGAAGGAGAACAATGGGATTTATAAGTCCTATATAACAGTGGCAGCCTTCCGAGACCCCAGGGTAAAAATAGACTGACTTAATAGTGGAATGGTTAAAATTCAAAATGTGGCATAATTTTTAAACAGACAACAATGATTTGGTGCATTTTGACACACATTTGGAGGCAAAAACGCTTGAATATGATATTTCTAAATTTATTAGAAATGCAACCCCAAGTACCCCCACTGTCACCACCACTGCAATGATTAAACTATAGGCCCATATTATTAAAGACTAGTTCTTGCCTTGACTTTTTACATTCGTTTGATGGATGAAGATAATAATAATAATAATATATTGTACCATAATATGAATATCTATAAATAATTATTTTTATTAATTCCCTTCTGTTTTTTTAAGAGCCTGGCAAAATAGTCTTTGTATAACTATAACACTAATTCCTCCATTCATTATTAGCCCATAAGATGCTGAAAACTCTGTTTCATTTCATTTGTCCTAGAAGGTACAGAACAGTTATAATGGAAAACTGATTTCATTAGCCAATAAGATGCTGACCTACAACTGAAAACTATATTCCATTAGCCCAATAGGATACAGACCGGGAATAGCCTAATACTCCATTTCAATTCATTTTTGCAGAGTTCAGCATCAGATAATAATTGAAGGTCTTTATTTTCAGATTGTATAATCTTGAGTTATTGAGCATTTAGACCTCACATATTGACAGATACGGCTCTGCATATTGAATTACTAGTTAATTGTGGTCTGATTAAAACAAGAGTTATGCCCCTTTCAGCACCTGACCAAAATGGCTGAAACCAATATTTACGTTTCTCCTGTGGAAGAAAGACCATTAGATGACAGAACAAGGGATGCTATCACAGATGGGCTGGTAGATTTATTGAGGCCAGCAGTAGAAGAAATAGATGACCGCGTAAAATGTGTTCGGTAGGTTTCAGGGCAAGAGAATTATCAAAAAACTGGATCCAGAGTTAGAAGAATGCCACGCCCACTTTTTTGTTTATATTTTTAAAGGACTCTTGATATTTGATTTTCATCCCGATATCAGGGACCTTGGCATATACCATGCTGTCCTTCAACAGCAAGGCTTTAAGTCAATTGACAGGCAACAAAAAACACTTCAAATTTTGTCAATGACCTCTTCCAACAATCTATTGGCCTTTGTGAATTGTGGTTTCACAACTATAAGGAATAGGGCTTACCCGGCGTTTTATAGAGGAGTAGACAAGTTGAGTGAATACCATATGATCTGATAGTAAGCAATATGAGGAGAATCTATGTATCTGAAACTGGCACACTATTTACATTCTCTCCCTCGTCAAATATCTTCAAATTTTTTAATTACAGTAGACCGCCTTCTAAAACTTGTTGAATTGTTGAAGATATTTTTCTTTTCTTCATTCTAGAGAAAGTCAGATGGAATTAAGACAACAGATTGACCTTGTTTCAGATCGTGAGTAGAAATTGTATGTAGGCACTACATTCTTCTTGATCAGTGTGTCAATGACTCAAGTGTGATAGATAAAAATGGTCCCGATTTGAAGATATTTACTGAAACATACTAATTTAGTATTATGATACACATACTAGGCCTACTCTTATATTAGTCCAAAATGTAGAAACATTGCAACTTTCACTTCAATATAAATTCTGTTCAGGTAACCCAGGTAAAGTTAATTTGTTTTATAATGAGGAAAATTTGCTGAAATAATGAAATTCTTATTTTATGCCATTATATAATTTGAATACAGCGTTAGATTTAACTGAAGTTGCTTTTAGCTTGGTTCAGAAATTAACTGACTTTCACTGAATATTATAATGCAAGTTTCCTATGTATTGTTTGAAAATGTATTTTATTATTTATTTTTTGGATGTCAGATATTTTATGAAATGTATTTGAATTTTTCCTAGATTTAAAGAAGATATCTGAAATTGAAGCAGTACCAGTAGATTTAGAACCCTATGTTAAAAAATTAAATAATTCTAGAAGAAGAGTGATGTTAGTTAATAATATTTTACAAAATGTCCAGGTTGGTCTACAGATTCATTTTTTAACACGTTCTTTTTTTGCCTCTATAAACTATTGGGGCAGAGTATCTTAATGATCAAGACACTTGAAAATTTTTCTGTTATACTGAAAGTCTAAAGAAATTACATGTGGATATATTATATATAGATCTTTATTTAGTTTATATATGTAAGTGAAGACATCAGAGAAAGTAAATTTTTGATGACGTCACAAATCACAAAGGCTCTCACAATTAGTGTTGCCATCAAACACTTAGTTTAAGTGGAATTGCTGGAACTGCAGATGTCTGATTGAAAATTAAAATGTTGCAAATAGATCTTACAATTTTCCCAGATACACAAATGATTAAGAAAACCTTTTTTACAATCCCTTTAATAATGGCCTGCTGATGAATGACTGTATCCCTCTCTCTGTAATGGATTGTCTATAAATGTTTAATGATACTTTGTAATTGCAGGATAGATTAAATAAACTACATACCAACGTATCTAAAGAAACAGCTAGGAGGAAATCTTTATTAGATCCTGGAGCTACTTTTAAATAATATATTGATAGACTGTTATGATAGATAAAGCTCACATTAAATAACAGAACACAATATTAACGTGTGTATCCATGAGTAGTATACCCTAATATGGTGTTCTGTTACTTGCTAGACTATCTTAATAATCCAGTTATGTAACTTACATGTGAACGCTTACATGAGTTGAACATCATTATCAACTGGTGCTTTTATTGTGAACGCTTTTTTGAGAAGTTAAAGTGTCATTATTAACTGAAAATTTTAAGATACACATTTAGCACCATCATGATATCAAGCTATTACGTACTGTGTTTAATCGTTTGCCTTTATAGCTATTGAAACTACACGTGAAGCCAAATTATTTACAGACTTTCTGTAGAGATCACTGATTGGCTGTATTCGGTATATAGTCCAATTGAATCATTGCAGTCCATGATAAAAGAAAGATGGCTATTGCAGTCAAGGTATTACATGTAGTTCATAATACCTTGACATTGTGAAGATGGAATTATATGTGAACACTTGCATATGGAGAAGTTAAGGTGTTATCAACTGGAGCTTGTAAGATACATCTTTACAACAATTTATTAAAATGCTGATTTTGGTGTTTTATTTTATCTTAGAACTTTGTATTAAGAGTGAGGAAGTTCATAGAAACACCTGTGTAAAACACTGGACGAGGTCATAAAAAGGTCACGAAACATTAGGGTGGAGTGAAATATATACAAGCACTTGAAGGACAAGACATTCCATGACATTTTGTTACTGTAATTTGGCTTTAATTTGTTGTCTACAGAGACCACTACAATCAATCTTGATGTGAAGTTGTGAACGCTTACATGTGAAAAAGTTATTTGTCATTATGAACTGGACCATTTAAAATACACTTTATGTGTATCATGTTATCTTAAAGTTATTAAACTACGTAATAACATAAGAATCTGACTTTATAAATAAAAATCTTTTCAAGCAAGACAGTTGTCCCCCATTGAGTCAGTCTGCCCCCTATTTTTACCCCCAGTCTTAAGAGGCTGGCACTGCCACTTCCTACAGACAAGTTTAAGCAATACATCCACAGATATAATACTCCAAACAAGACATAAAGTGATGATTTTTATTCCCTTGGTTACAACTAGAATAATAATGATACAATTTATAAATTACTAGAATTCTTTTTCCCCCAAAAAAACTTTGTACCATGTGTTGGAGGCTTGTTAGATGTAAAAATCGGACCATTGATCAGCAATCCAGGCTGTGTTTAGTATATCATTTTGATCAGATCAGCCCCTCTGCTCTGTTAAACTATAGACATATATATATGTATAGTTTTATTTCTACGTCTATATTAGGGGAATGATAACAATCAAGATACAATCCAACATTTAGAATATATTTACACATTGATTTTTCATATTGTGCATTTAAAAAGGTACATGCATTACAATATTCCTACAAATTTTGGAAACAGAATTTGCAAGGTGCACTGTTCAAATGGTACATGTATTGCAAGGCCTTCTTTGAAGCATTTTCACAAATTTTAGAAACAAATCACCAAATTCATACACATAACCACGCCCATGATGATTGAGTGATGAAATTTAAAATACAACCGAATTCCCCATATTAGAATATATGTTCACTGGTATAATCACTGGCTACATTCCAGTGAAGACGTGTTCAAATGTTCTTGACTAGTGAAGACATGTTCAAATGATCTTAACGAGTGCTCAGAGTGTTCAGATCGTTTTATCTGTTGGTAGTAGCTCTCTGTCTTGAGAATGCCAAGAGAGTTTAAAATTATTAGCTACTAGTTTTGCCTGAAAAAAGAATAACATGGTTTATTATCCTGGTACTCTGCTTTGATATATTGGATCCTAGCATCTCCTTTAAACGCAATTCCAGTCAAATTTCGACATTGAGCTGTAAACACTGTTTTATTCGTGATTATCATAGCTTTTCTGACACTAAGGTACGATTGGTTAAAGCATGTGAACGCCAGCGCTTCTCTGTCTAAAAACTATAGATGGTGTACTTACTGTGACTATTGCCATAAATGCCCCTAGCAGGAACCCTGCCAGGACGTCTGTAGGATGGTGCCAGTAGTCAAAGACTCTCGATACACTGGCATATATAGCCATATAAAAACACGGAATCTGTAGGAAGGTTTTTAATAACGGCAATGTTTGGAAGTGGAATTTTTCATGAATATAACACTGGAAAGATATATAAAAAAATTCAAATAGCATATACCAAAATCGTTTAAAGTCTGACTGACCTGTCGGAGTGTTTAAAATATAGATCTATCAATCAGGTTTAGATTGGAGCAGTGGTGTATTTAGGAGGGGGGATTTGGTCATGCCCTCCCCTCACGCTTGTAAAAGGTATTATTTTGAATTGAAAAGCCTTCTAAATGCTCAAAATTCATCTCGGGTCATCCGTTGGCTCCCGAGGGCATTTGGCAGTCTCCAGTACTCAAGGGGTTTCGGGCATCGCCTTGAAGAGACACCTCCCATTTTTGGTCGCTCCCTCGTGCATTTTCTAGATACGCCCCTGGATTGGATTAGTAATATAGAAGTATACTTACTATCAAAAACAACATGGCGTATATTGATAGAGCGGCATGGCCTGATGGAAAAGATAACCTGGAATACACAATATTATTTTGGTCATATTCTGTTATTTACAAGAATAAAACAGTTATTATTACATCAGTTTGTTAACGATCAGTGCCAATGCTATACAACGTCTCTAAACCAATCTGAGCTATTCCCCATTATGAAAGGACCGATCAGTGCCAATGCTGTACAGTGTCTCCACAACACTGTTAAGGGATAGATCAGTGTCAATGCTGTACAATGTCTAAACAACACTGTTAAGGGAACGATCAGTGTCAATGCTGTACAATGTCTCCACAACACTGTTAAGGGATAGATCAGTGTCAATGCTGTACAATGTCTAAACAACACTGTTAAGGGAACGATCAGTGCCAATGCTGTGCAATGTCTAAACAACACTGTTAAGGGAACGATCAGTGCCAATGCTGTACAATGTCTCCACAACTCTGTTAAGGGAACGATCAGTGTCAATGCTGTACAATGTCTCCACAACACTGTTAAGGGATAGATCAGTGTCAATGCTGTACAATGTCTAAACAACACTGTTAAGGGAACGATCAGTGCCAATGCTGTACAATGTCTAAACAACACTGTTAAGGGAACGATCAGTGCCAATGCTGTGCAATGTCTAAACAACACTGTTAAGAGAACGATCAGTGTCAATGCTGTGCAATGTCTAAACAACACTGTTAAGGGAACGATCAGTGCCAATGCTGTACAATGTCTCCACAACTCTGTTAAGGGAACGATCAGTGTCCATGATGTACAACGTCTCCACAACACTGTTAAGGGAACGATCAGTGCCAATGATGTACAACGTCTCGAAACCACTGTTAAGGGAACGATCAGTGTCAATGCTGTACAACGTTGCCAAATGACTTAATCAAGGGCTATACACTGTTCCCATTTTTCGAACTGATGAAGGATACGGGTTACAGATTCGTTTACTCAGAACCATATCTTTTCTAAATTCAAAGCTTCCTTAAGGTAATGGAGGAAATACCTATCATAAAAGCTAATCCCCACCCCCCTTTCCCCTCTCCCCCTTCTCTCTCCTGAAACCTCTTGAGTGATGCCCATGATTCATATTAAAGATCTACCTGGCTTGCTTCAGTTCTTCCTGGGTACCTGACGTACAAACAAAATCTTCAATATACTGTCCTGTACAATTAAATTTCTCCGGTTGACATACAGCCAGAAAATGAGGTCTCAATCGACCCACAGAATATTTCATTATGTCCACAGAAAACTGTGTAGAAGCGAAACCAAACAGAAACACTGCCATTGTACATGATATCTGTTCAACAATAACTTTTAGTTTTGATACTTTCGGTTGTAAATCTAGTTCATTTCGTCGTATCTCCAACAAGACAGTGACTATATCACCAATAGCAAGCTGAAATAGGAATATAACAATAGAAACATTTTAATATAAAACTTTTGTTATTTTTTGTATTAAGAGCCGTTTGAACACTTCATCAAGCACTATTTTGGAAACTTCGTGCCGAGGTTCATTTTGCTGACTTTACTGTTGACAGCTGTCATAATATCCATCAGAAGCTAGAATAGAGGCAGATATTTCGGACTAACTAACATTATGTTCTGCATGTTATATTCCACCAGAGCATTGCATGGCGTATGGAATTTAGTGACAACACGGATCCAACATTGAAATAATGTCCTACCGAAATGTAAATACTCACAATGACAAGTGGCATGAAAAATGAAACCAAGTAAAGAACGATATTGCTGACAGTTGATGTTTTATAAGGATATCTAATAGACTCATCACTACAGAAAAACCCTTGTTTAAATGGTTCACCAATAAAATATAATATAGCAGACCCTGAAAATACTGAAATAAAAAAGGAACTTAACCAATCAGTGTTGTATTTTGGTGGTGGGTCAATGGGCCATGCCCCTCCCCTCTCCTCAGGCCTCTGAAAGGTTTTACATGAAAGTGAAAATTAAGCCCTCCAAATGTTGCTATATATCAGGTATATCTGGTTTCTGGGTGGAGGGAAGGGGGGAGGGGGGGCCTCTGGGCTTCGCCTCATAGAGACACCTCTCATTTTTGTCCCTCACACCCTTCAGACATTTTCCACAAACGACCCTGTAATCAAAGCACGATTTTGAAAAAATACAGTAGTGCAAAGAAATGAATCTGGAAGAAAGAATATAATTACCAACTTTAATAAAACTAGATGCTCTTATTTAAATATTCTAATTTTATCGATTTTTCTTAGTATTAAATTAACGTAATATATTCATATTTCTAAATAGCAGTTGCGAACACTAAACTTGTTCTGGGTGTATAGAAGCACTGGGTCACAAGTAGAGATTATTATGGATTTCAACATAAGTTTAAGTCAAATTGGCGAGAAATTAATTGCTACTGGAGAGATTTACAATCTTGGGGTGTTTTGTTGTGTTTATGTCGTGGAAAAATTTCTAAAGTACTGAGCAATATCCAAAATTTAGATTTTAGACAAGGTTATTTAAGAATACATACAGCCTAGTGGCGACGTCAACTCCAGACTGGGGGTACACATTTTTCAGGGGGTAGGCCTACAAAAAGAGATACACCCCACACCCTCCCATCCAACTTCTATACCACACCCCTACTGACGCTGACAATATTACAGCCGTGCATGTTGAATCACTCGGTAGTTTTTATATGACAACATTTTAAAAAATACTGAGAAGCTTATCGGGTACGGCTATTAGAAACGTCTACTTGTACCGGTACGCACATTCTCCAAAAGATCTTAGCGGTTAGGGTCTCATAAGACTGTTTCTAGGATATCCTGGTGTCTTAACTTCTAACACTGTTTCTAGGATATCCTAGGGACTTAACTTCTAACACTGTTTCTAGGATATCCCAGGGTCTTAACTTCTGACACTGTTTCTAGGATATCCTGGGGTCTTAACTTCTAACACTGTTTCTAGGATATCCCAGGGTCTTAACTTCTAACACTGTTTCTAGGATATCCTAGGGTCTTAGCTTCTAACACTGTTTCTAGGATATCCTAGGGTCTTAACTTCTAACACTGTTTCTAGGATATCCTAGGGTCTTAACTTATAATACTGTTTCTAGGATATCCTAGGGTCTTAACTTCTAATACTGTTTCTATGATATCCTAGTGTCTTCACTTCTAACACTGTTTCTATGATATCCTAGGGTCTTACACTGTTTCTAGGATATCCTGGGGTCTTAACTTCTAATACTGTTTCTAGGATATCCTAGGGTCTTAACTTCTAATACTGTTTCTATGATATCCTAGTGTCTTCACTTCTAACACTGTTTCTATGATATCCTGGTGTCTTAACTTCTAACACTGTTTCTATGATATCCTAGGGATCTTAACTTCTAACACTGTTTCTAGGATATCCTGGTGTCTTAACTTCTAACACTGTTTCTAGGATATCCTGGTGTCCTAACTTCTAACACTGTTTCTATGATATCCTAGGGATTTAACTTCTAACACTGTTTCTAGGATATACCAGGGTCTTAACTTCTAACACTGTTTCTAGGATATCCTGGGGTCTTAACTTCTAACACTGTTTCTAGGATATCCCAGGGTCTTAACTTCTAACACTGTTTCTAGGATATCCTAGGGTCTTAGCTTCTAACACTGTTTCTGGGATATCCTGGTGTCTTAACTTCTAGCACTGTTTCTATGATATCCTAGGGACTTAACTTCTAACACTGTTTCTAGGATATCCTGGTGTCTTAACTTCTAACACTGTTTCTAGGATATCCTAGAGACTTAACTTCTAACACTGTTTATAGGATATCCTGGGTCTTAACTTCTAACACTGTTTCTAGGATATCCTAGGGTCTTAACTTCTAACACTGTTTCTAGGATATCCTAGGGTCTTAACTTCTAACACTGTTTGTAGGATATCCTATGGTCTTAACTTCTAACACTGTTTCTAGGATATCCTGGGGTCTTAGCTTCTAACACTGTTTCTAGGATATCCTGGGATCTTAACTTCTAACACTGTTTCTAGGATATCCCAGGGTCTTAACTTCCAACACTGTTTCTAGGATATCCTAGGGTCTTAGCTTCTAACACTGTTTCTAGGATATCCTGGGGTCTTAACTTCTAACACTGTTTCTAGGATATCCTAGGGTCTTAACTTCTAACACTATTTCTATGATATCCTAGGGTTTTAACTTATAACACTGTTTCTATGATATCCTAGGGTATTAACTTATAACACTGTTTCTAGGATATCCTAGGGTCTTAACTTCTAAAACTGTTTCTAGGATATCCTAGGGTCTTAACTTATAACACTGTTTCTAGGATATCCTAGGATCTTAACTTCTAAAACTGTTTCTAGGATATCCTAGGGTCTTAAATGAAAATACTGTTTCTATGATATCCTAGGGTCTTAACTTATAACACTGTTTCTAGGATATCCTAGGGTCTTAACTTCTAACACTGTTTCTAGGATATCCTAGGGTCTTAACTTCTAACACTGTTTCTAGGATATCCTGGGGTCTTAGCTTCTAACACTGGTTCTAGGATATCCTAGGGTATTAACTTCTAACACTGTTTCTAGGATATCCTAGGGTATTAACTTCTAACACTGTTTCTAGGATATCCTAGGGTATTAACTTCTAACACTGTTTCTAGGATATCGTACGGTCTTAACTTCTAACACTGTTTCTAGGATACCCTAGGGTCTTAACTTCTAACACTGTTTCTAGGATATCCTAGGATATTAACTTCTAACACTGTTTTTAGGATATCCTAGGGTATTAACTTCTGACACTATTTCTAGGATATCCTAAGGTCTTAACTTCTAACATTATTTCTAGGATATCCTAGGGTATTAACTTCTAACACTGTTTCTAGGATATCCTAGGGTATTAACTTCTAACACTGTTTCTATGATATCCTAGGGTCTTAGCTTCTAATACTGTTTCTATGATATCCTAGGGTCTTAGCTTCTAACACTGTTTCTAGGATATCCTAGGGTATTAACTTCTAACACTGTTTCTATGACATCCTAGGGTCTTAGCTTCTAACACTGTTTCTAGGATATCCCAGGGTCCTAACTTCTAACACTGTTTCTAGGATATCCTAGGGTCTTAACTTCTAATACTGTTTCTATGATATCCTAGGGTCTTAGCTTCTAACACTGTTTCTAGGATATCCTAGGGTCTTAACTTCTAATATTGTTTCTATGATATCCTAGGGTCTTAGCTTCTAACACTGTTTCTATGATACCCTAGGGTCTTAACTTCTAATACTGTTTCTAGGATATCCTAGGGTCTTAACTTCTAACACTGTTTCTATGATATCCTAGGGTATTAACTTCTAACACTGTTTCTAGGATATTCTGGGGTCTTAACTTCTAACACTGTTTCTATGATATCCTGGGGTCTTAACTTCTAATACTGTTTCTATGATATCCTAGGGACTTAGCTTCTAACACTGTTTCTAGGATATCCTAGGGTCTAAGCTTCTAACACTGTTTCTATGATATCCTAGGGTCTTAACCTCTAACACTGTTTCTAGGATATCCTAGGGTATTAACTTCTAACACTGTTTCTAGGATATCCTAGGGACTTCTAACACTGTTTCTAGGATATCCTAGGGTCTTAACTTCTAACACTGTTTCTATGATATCCTAGGGACTTAACTTCTAACACTGTTTCTAGGATACCCTAGGGTCTTAACTTCTAACACTGTTTCTAGGATATCCTAGGGTCTTAACTTCTAACACTGTTTCTATGATATCCAAGGGTCTTAACTTCTAATACTGTTTCTATGATATCCAAGGGTCTTAACTTCTAATATTGTTTCTAGGATATCCTAACGCTTAGATCATTTCGAGAATTTGTGAACAGTTTGGTCAAATTTCATTAGATTTTTTTAAAACAATACCCTGGATTAACGATGATTATTTACAAATCCCTGTGTACAGCGATTTGGAAAATATGTGATATCTATAACAGATAGTGTCATTTAACAAGGCAAAGTTAGGTCAAGCATGCCTCATGGGCCAGGCCCGTAACCAGCCCAATGTGCCAAGGGTGGACGCATTTGCACGTGGGGTTTGGGATGGTGTCTGTAATTGTATATGGAGAATTTGTTCGTGTTTTGCTGGGGCGAGGGGGCGAATATACTTCCCCTTTTGGGTTTATTAACAAGTGTGTCAAACGTTGACAACGTATACAACAATATTACATATTATGTTTAAAGCAGGTGTCCATTCCCCTTGCCCCCTTCCATTCCCTCGTCGTCTATATATTAATTAGGGAAGGCGTCTTTAACAAGTTTGTGAAAAGTTGACATCTTATTAATATCATTCCACCATCTATACCCCCTCTTTAAGGATTCGCCCATCCAACCTGTCGTTTTACCCCTTCTTCAAAAGCTAAATATGGTTAAATAAGGTCACTCTTGTCGTATCGTTTAAACGACATGTATCTCATATTTCGGGTTTCAATAAGTTTCTCTTTGGTCTTATAAACTGAATTATACAATGTAGTTTTTGGTGATTACGTGCCTTATATTTTATTAAAATAAAGCTGTTATATGTACGCTCCCTTACCCCTTCTCCAAATTGTCCAACTCTACTAAAATATAGTAAAAACTCACCTAAAACGAACAAAATATAGTTAGCCAAAGTTGTTAACACACAATGTTTACCCCACGCCATTATGACTTTAAGCCTGAAGCTACAAACTAACTAAATAAAGCTTTAAACTAGGACAGTGTTTAGAAAATCATCCCGTATTTTATTCAATCATATTTTAAATCTATACCGGCTTATCTATAGTTTACTATCTCTTAATGATATAACTAGGATTTGACAGCTCCACGTGGCTTTGTTGTTTTTTTTATATAGTAGATGAGTAATGTACCATTATAAAAGTTAGTTCGGTAGGCCTACATTACAGTCAATCCTTTAGTTACTTTTCTCTTCTTACAATCTTTAATTGGTCATTGAACACTCCCTGATTGATTAATATTGAAAATCGATACCTGACAGATTTTGTATGGAATTATTTGACTTGTGTTACCAGTATATCCCTAATATTAGTTTTGAGTGGTCATTATTCGGGACTAAAGTCTATAATAGCAGTTTGAAATCAATAGTATGCCTACTCGGGGACAATGATAAAAACGGATAGGTAAACTATATAGTATTATAGTTGGTCACTTATTATAAAGAAAACACATTAAAATAAAATAAAAGATACATAGAATATAACATATTAAAATAAAATATATAATTGCTGATTAAATGAAGTCAACTATTTCACAATGTAAAATATTCAAAAAAGAATTTGAGGGGATGGGGCAAAGCCGGACTCTCATACTTTAATGATGTATGACAATGCCAATTTAAGGCTTTAACCTGTACTTTAAACTTTTATTCGCTTATATGTTTTCCAAACAATCGGCCAAATATGAAATTGTGGTCTGTACCGGACAAACACGATAGTCTCCCTTTATTCCTTAGTAGGCTTTTACCAGTGCAGTGGCTCAACAAGATGATTGATGACCCGTGGATTTCAGTTGGTTAGCCCCCTCCCTCTGGAAATTATTATGCTCTCCTTGCATTGTATAAGTCAAATTACTGCCTGTTAATGGAAGATTTAAAGATTCTCAGTATGCTATTTTTATTTGGTGGTGGTGGTGGGGGGGGTTTGGGGGTAGAGATAGGGTCCGTGACCACTGGCCTTTTAATGGAATTGGTTTACATTTTCAACGGTTTTTGTGATATACCAACTTAAAATTCAACAATGAAATTAAAGGTCTGTATCCCTTCAAAATACTTTAATCTTCTATGACGTCAAGGTTTTTAGAAGGTGTTTTTAAAACTGGAGTTATTTCCCTTTAACTGTCAATTTCATAACGGTTAAATTTTAGCTGCATTATAAACATTGTCAACAACGGGAAGTTTTAAAGTCATAATTTAGTAAATTCACTATAGCTAGATTTCAATTTTTGGTCGGTGATCTAAACATTACCTTTGAAGATGTAGGTGGAGGTTTTTTTGAAAAAAATGAAAGTGACCGGTCAATCTGTCATCCTTCTGCGCAGCCGGAAGTGAATGAGTCAGATTATCCGCCATTACAATCATTGATTTTATTCGTGTAAGGATAACTATCTTCAAGAATTTGTTTGTTAGGCGATTAATTGTTTGAATTTGCACTAATGCAGCCATGAGCTGGGGCACGGAGTTGTGGGTAAGTATTCTATTTACATAAATTGTTGACCATTCGTCTGTATAAGTCAATGTTTTGAATTAAAATCGTGAATTTATTTGGAAGGGGTGCGTCTGCTTGACTTGTGAACATCACTATCTGTTTCAGTATCGCACATTTTCAGTCGGAGACAGTCAATGTCTCAAGAGACTCGCTAAATATCCGTGAATCATTTCCTTAGAATTCTTAAAGATCGTTTTAACCACTGCATCTTAGGCTCTTTTTTCTCTACAATAATAATTTTATGCTGGAATTCAGAGTATTTTGACTGAGTAAATAATTAGGTCCAGCTCATTCATCCATGAAGATGACCAGAGAAAGACATATTACACTTTTTCATTCATTACTAGACCTACTGTGACATTGAAGAAGTAGTACAGGACTTGTGTGTAAAAAGCTTGAATTGTGAGCATGGATTCATGTCATTGTCTAGGCCTAAATTTCTTATCATTTGTTGTTTAGAAGTAGAAGAGTAAAATTTGGATGTATCTGAAATTTTTCAGTCATGAAATCTGTACTCTACTATATAGTATTATACCTCCGTGTTTGATTGTCAATAAAAATAGTCATAAATATTTTCTTACGAAATAGAATGACCAGTATTCTATTGACATTTTATGTCTTTTGTTGTTTAAAACATCAATTGGTGACTCAAAGATAGGCCTGACTATTTATGACAAGAGTATGAGTGTTTTAACTGTTTTTCCAATGATAGTTAAAGAAGAAAGATTGTAGTATTCCATTAAAAAACATTATTACGAAAACACAGGCACAGGACAGGCGCAGAAAAGTCTGTAAAATTTCAGCGTAAAAATAGATTGAAAAGTTTTAACATTAACAGCTTTCGCTGTTTTATTTCCTTAAATCAATTTTCATATCCACTTAGTATTTGAATTATTTCCTGTCAATAGTTATATTGCATAACACACAGGACAGTTTACAAAATATAGGCTAATTTTGTTGTCTTAGTGATTACTGGGAATGAATTGTGTAAACCTGTTAACATTTCTGTATCCCAGTAAAAAGCATTGTCTTGGGAAGTTAAAAAAAATAAAAATTGAGCCAATATAAGTTTGGAAAATCATTGAGAAATTAATTAAAACCCCTACGTAAGCTTATAAAGCACTAGCCAAGGCTATAAAGAGTCTTGTAGTAGAGTCTTGTAGTAGAGTCTTGATCTATGCTTTAAATCAAGGGTTTTCAACCTTTTTTTTCTATTACCCCTTTCAAGGACCTTGATCGATCACTTTACCCCACTTCAGTCTATTGCCCCCCTTCCCGTATAAATCCTTAGTATTTCGTGATTATCTCTTGGGTTTTCCCTACATTCTTTTTCATGTTAGAGAAAATAGCCTGACCAAATGAAACAACTTAATATTATAATGGTCCAAATGTTTTATTCTAGACAACACTTTATATTACCCCCTCCTCCCCTTCCTCCCCCTCCTCCCCCCCAAAATGTCAAAATTACCCTCAGGTTAAAACCCGTGTGGTAACAATTTGTTACAGGTTGTGTCTTATTTTATTTTTACTAAATTGAAATGATATAGCCAGAAATTGAAAACATCAAGCATCTATTGACTGTCATATTTCAATCTAACTAATATGTTGAATAATGTTGTTTTTGGACTAAATTATTGTAAATACTACCACTAGTTGATAAGTTTTAGGTGGGACAGTGAAATTTGCCTTCAAGTCAAGGAAAAACTCAAGTATGTTGTAAAATGAGAAATATTTGACTCTAATAATAGATGATATTTAGGTTAATTACTATATGAGTTAATACTAGCTTGACTTATTTGTATAATAAACAGTAGTTCTGTTATAATGGTCAAATTTCAGTTGACTTTTGTCTTGTGTCATCAGCAATATCTTACTACACTACATGTATAGGTCTTGTCCTTTTGGAACACCTTGCCTTACAGTAGTAAAGTCCTTAAATAGCGTGTTTAGCAATTGAAATGATATATATTGAATGACAATGACTGGTTGTATGCAGTTTTTCAGCCCTGCTCAATCCTCAGGCACATGTCATTTTGTTCTCAAACTTCAGTATAAAATTGCTAATATTTTGAACTCTGGGTAATGTAAGAGGATTTATAACAATAAAACTGTTTTAAAATCACTATAAAGACAAAATAAGTGTCTCACCAAAATAAACAGAGAGCTATTGATCATCACCTCAATTCAATGTAGACTTTGAAGTCATGTTCTGTCTAATCACCTTGACATTTGATGTCCTGTTTTGCAATGTGCAGAATTTCGTAAATTTGAATTTTAGCAAGTCTGTGCAGTCCAGAATCAATGTAATAGGCATACCTTTGCACGTTGGCCAAGATAAGAATATTTGACCACAATATTTCAAAGCATGCTGAAATGATGTCCAACTCTTTCACCCCCTACTACCTAACCAACTTGACTACTGCCTGTTATAAAAACAAGGGCAGTAACTAAATAAAATTGAAATGTCAGTGATTGAATAAACTGCCTTGTTACACAGACTATTATGTATGGGGTTATCATGTAGACTAAATGGCAATCTTTAGGGGATATATTATTTGAAATAAACATATGTGAAAAGCAAACACATTACCTCAACCTTCTGAAAGGAAAGCAGAGTTCATTGAAATATGAGTATGCCCTGCCTCTATTGTGACACTTAATTCCCTGAAAAAACTCTTAAATGTTTATTTTATACGTTCCATAATTATGATAGTTGTTAAATACTCAGTGTCAAGTTGCACTTGTTTAACTTCTCTTAATGAGATGACCTTAATTAAACATCTTAATTATCATACCAGTTATCTTTTAATTAACTAGCCTTAATTATTGTGTAAATAAAACCTAGATTCTACCTAACTATTGAAACCTCCCTATACCATTAAACTGACAGATCAAACCCAGAATTTGACAAACTCTCATCACCTTTCTGATATCTAGAAGTTTTGGATTGCGCACTGGTCACTCTGAAGGAATCTTTTCATAAGTCTATAAAATTTCTATGTCTAGGACATTAGGTCAGGATGATTGAAGTATAATCAAGACATTGCCTTAATGTACAGAAAGGCACTGGTTCAGGATTTGGGTATTGTACCTTACAAATGTTACAAATCTGTTCATGTGAATTGTGGATTATAAGACTACCTATTTCTTTATGGTGTGTTGAAGAATGTTTAAAATCCAATGCCCTATTGTGTGAAATCTGGATAAACCAAACAAATTTGGCCACCCAATTTTTGAGAATTGTGTATCTATAACTGTTGACGAATAATTCTCCATTTGGGAATTTTATACAGAAGTTGGTTCTACAAAATTAGCTAATAGTGCTTGTGACTTGCTTATATAGGAAATTATCATCATTATATGTCACGCCCTATTTTGTGATCAAGTATATAACTGAATAGAAGTATTATTACCAACCAGCCCCCCTACTGTGTGAAATATT